CTTCCCCTTCCCCCTCGATTCGATTCCACCTTCTGCGGCTCGAGAAATCGCGAATTCGCTTGAATTTCGCGAAATTCCTCGCGTGGAACACAAAAACGAGGAGGAGTAAACGGCGATGAAACAGGGCGAGTTTTATAGCGGGTGGACACGACGGCAGCAGGGAATCACGGGGCCGCGAGTAATTCGCAGACTTATTTCCGCGATAAAATAAGAGTCGTAGGCGGGATACAAAGCGGAATTGCGCAAGAGAAATTGTATTTCGTCGTGTTGCCATTTTTTCTTTTTTTTTCACTGGCTGGATTCGAAGATCGAGTGAGCATTTTTTCGAATCGTTCGAATTGAGAAAGAAAGGAAAATGAATTTGAAGGGTTTTTACGAAAGTTTGGCTTCGGTGTTTGGAGATTTTTTGCGCTTCTTGCGATCAAAGAAGGACGTTTAAACGAGTTTGGAATAAATTTGTGCAGCTTGTTAATTAAAGGAAGTCGAACTGTTGCGAAAAAGTGTGGAAATTATGTATACCGGGGAAGAAGTTGTGGAAGATTAATAACCTGGGAGGGAGATAAGATGAGAGTGGTGTAAAACGTTTATTTTAAGATTATCGTATTAATAAATAATGAAACTGTTTAAGAATATTTATAATAAAAGAAAAGGATTAATTTAAAATAGAAAATAATAATGCAAATGTTAAAAATATGAAGAGAATAAAAGAATATTAATTTTTAAATATTCTAATTGTATAAATAATGATTGTTATATGATAAAATGTAAGTTAAATTTTGATAATTTGAAAAAAGAAAAATAAGAAAGAATTTTGAATGAATATTTTTTTTTATACAAATTTTGATTCTAAAAAGAGCAAAAGAAATCTATAGATGGATTTTTATTATTAGTATTTGAAACATAAATATAAATTGCAACAATATTCTTTCTACTACTCGTTAAATAAAAATTTATATGATTCTATTTCAGAGCAGCATCTGGTTTGATATTCTTTCTCGAGATTACATGGGCCATCACCTTATTCGTACAGATCTGTGTCAGGTAAATAAATTTAGCATATTCTTTCTATATATTATTCTTATTCCTAAATTATTATAAATATTTCATTCATAATCGTTTATACGATTTTTACAGAAATATCATAAACGTTTAAATTATTATCATCACTAAATCCAAGCATTTAATATTTATATTATACTAAATATATTTAATGTTAAAAATGTGTAGAATGATCAGGCAAATAGAACAAAATAATCTATCAAGTTAATAGAATAGAGCAGACAAGTAGAATGGGCCAGTTGCTTCCAACCAAATAGAATAAGCTAGTCACGTCCAAACAAGTAGAATAGACCAATCATAGCCAAGCACGTAGAATAAAACAATCATAAAAAAAGTAAAATAAGAAAGTCACATTCAGAAAAATAGTTTACATCAGTCAGATAAACACAATAACGTGACCAAAATAAAAAATAGAATACTTATAAATATCTTTCATAAATCAATTTCTTCTCTTTAATTTCCACGTTCAAAACCCCTATTCCAAAAAAGAAGAAGAAAAAAATCAGTTCATTGAAAACAGATCACTTCTAACAAAATCCTCAAATAATCACACACTATTATTCCAAACCAGCAAAGCGAGCTCCTTTTCATTCTAGCTCCCTTCATCTCTTCAAGCATTTTCATCGAAGTGCAAACAAGCAAGAGGGAAGAAAATCCTCCATGGTATAAAACATCTGATTTCCATCGGTCGTAATAAGAAAGGTACAAAAAAAAAGGAGGGGGAGGAGGGAGAGACGTTTATTCGTCGACTTTATTCCTTTTGATAACATCGACAAGAATATAAACTCCCGAAACGAGTGGTGTCGAGCCGAGATAGATCGTCGGAAGTTCGTCCGCCAATAAAATCGTCTTTTCCCTTCGGAAACTCCTTTCTCCCTTTTTATTCCACCTCGATCTTTCGCCGTATTCACTTCGACCACCCTCCTCGGTGGCTTCACAATCGTCGTCGCCCTCCTTCTATTATACATCTATATCAGGTTCTTGCATATTTTCTTCGCCCATCTTCGTCTCCCCACTTTACACGTGGAGGTGACTCGCGATCGAGGAAATTGGGACAAAGTTCGAACGTGGTAATTACCAGTCTAGTTTTCCATCCTTGCCACCGCTTTACTTTTTCCTCGTGAGAATCCCTCGTTCGAGAATAGTTTGCACGATTTCGTCGACGTTTTTGCGTTTATTGGAATCTGGAATGGCATTAGGAAATCAATGAGATTCGGCTCGAGAATTCTCGACTGACAATGAAGGGAAAATGGAAAAAGGGGTAGGTTGGTTAAATAACTTGGTGTGACTTGCTCGAATGAAACTATAGGATTTTTATAAAAAGATGTTGTAAAAGGGATATTGGCTTGGTTGAATTGGTTTAGATATGTGGACGATTGGAAAGTGAGAAAAATAATAGAAAATTATGCATTGGCTGTGAAAAGTATTATCATATAATATAATACAGTTTTTTGATTAAAAAGATTAAAAATGAGTTATCCAATATATTATAAAAAATAATGTAACTGGATGTATTTAATAAAATTTTGATTTCATAAAGATAAATTGTCTTGAACTATTTTTTGAATAGTTATTAATTTAAGATGAAATAGGTAGAATTTATATGTAAAATATAATAATCTTTAAATCCAAAGGATATATTAGAGAAATTAATACAGATAATATCAAATATATATAACAATAATTATTATTATATTACTGAATTTCATCAATTTCAACAATGAATGGAATTGTATAGATATTATAGATTGAATGATTTCATTTCAATTTATAATTCTGATTACAATCTATATCAATTCATTCATATATTATTGCAATTTTATTTTCTCTAAACTTAAATAAATTATTAATATTACTAATTTTTAGTATATTTTTTAATTATTTATGATTTACTAAATTATTTACTATTTTTAAATATTATTTTCTGATTATTTTTATTTGTTTCAGGTATTCTTAAATAAAATATAAATTCAAATTGGAATATAATATAAATTTAATATTATTTGCAAAAATAGTAAATAAATTAATATATGTGATGAGACTCTACAATAAATTTAATAATATTTTATAAATAATTTGGATTTTATTTATTTCATATAATCTTATTTTTTTTTATTTTAAACTTAATAATTTTAAAATATTCTAATATGATCACTAAAATAAATCTATTATCCAAATTATGATATCACAAAATTATATCAAAAATTATATATTATTATCCAATAAAATTATAAAATACGTGTATGAATTATTCTCCTCCTAATAAAATCTCCAACGCTTTATTGCACCTATAAATCCAATTTGAAAAGACTTAGTTCTTGCAGAGAACGACACGGACCTCGATAAAACGTTGTATATATTTTGTTTCAGGAACGACGAGTCTCTTTGTTCATGCTGCTGGTCGGCAGTGTTGGCGATAACAAGGGGTTGGCGGAGAGCATTGTTTTATCTACCATTATCCTGTATTTTGGCATGGAAACCGTATAGTCTATGGTTGTCCTATGTTGCGGGTAACTTGGCAAACTAGTTGCTTAAATATTTATAAGTTGAAAATTATTAATTAAAAGTAACAACAGGAGCCCTTTTGTAGGCTAATTTATAGCTTAATAATGCATTGGTGGAATTATTTCTTTTATTTATTTATTTTTTTCATTCTATCATTAAGTATAATTTAACGTATTATTTTTTGATATAATTTAACATGATTATTTTGAAAATATTTGAATATTATTTCATTTAATTAAATTAGGAGAAATTTTGTATTTTCTCATGTGGAAATATTCACTTCGGTTTTGAAATAGATTTTACCTTTAAATATATGAAATGATAGAATTTAGTAATTTAGAATCTCAAAGAAAAATGATAAAATTTTAAAAAATTACAAATTACATAGTATATTTGCAAATTATTTGTAAATTAGTTATGATGAATGAAAAAAATGAAATTCTTTAAAGATATATATAATTTGATATAATTAATTATATTAGACTAAATATACAATTGTTGCATTTTAAAATTTTAAAGACTAATTAACAAAATAATATATAGATATAATGTTATCTCTATCATTAATAAAAAGATACATTTTAACTTGTTCGTGAGTACGTTTCCACCCAAAGGACTCACGAAAACAAGTTCGGATCTGCATAAATCTAATGCAGCACCTGAAAGCTGTCGCTTCTCCCTGCGGATACTCATCGACTCATAGACATAACTTACCTAAGTTGTAGAGGAGAATTATATGATATTGAAGACAAGATTTAAAAACCACTATTTTTCATCACTTAAGATAATTTATTTTGATTCGTGTAAGAATCCAATTGCATCTAGATTTATTTTTGTTAATTTTTAATTTTTAATATCTGAAAATCAAAGGTAAAAACATTATTATTATTATTTTTGATTTCCAAATTTTATTTTGATCCTGATCATCGAATTAGGAAAAATTTCCAAATATTAAAATTCCATAATTAACAATCAAGAAAATTGATCTAAAGAATCAAAAAATAAAAGTTTTAATTTTCAAATTTTAAGAAAATTATGGCACTTAAAAATTTTTCCTTAAAATAATCCTAATTTAATGATCAGGAACTGTACAATAATTTTTACATGTAATATTTTTAATGTATATTAGAATCAAAAAATGATTTAATTTGACAAAATATTATATAATTTCAAAAATATAATCATAATAAATAAGAGGAGGAAAATTTTCATTATTCTGAAACTTTGTATTGTGAAAAAATATTTGAATGAGAGGAATGCGAAAGAGACAAGGATTTGATGTTAAGTAATAACATCGAAAGCAAACTGAAATGAAAAAAATATACCCCGTTATACATTTCCCTTTTGTTTTTATATCCCCAGCCGGACTTTTGGCAGTGCTATCCTTGCTGCATATTACGTCCAGCGCTTTGGGCATACGTGGTTCCTGCCAGATGAGCAATGCCACGGATTCAGTTGGCGAGAGCCTTCTAAATACTAGGCCTGAGAATTACGATCGTTTTGAAGAAGTTTTGGTAAGTATACAAGCTAAAAAAAAAAAAAAAAGAAAAAAGAAAAATGTAATTTTCTGTATTAAGAGATTAACGTTGAAAATTCTTGAATTTCTGCTACAAAGGAAATGTAATTTAATATAGTTGTACAAGATAATCCTTTCATTGTTCTAGTAATTTTTTTCAATTTACTTTAAATTGAAAATTTTCTTTTTAAGAAATTAGATATTTAAGAAATTGGAGATTTTTTAATAGTTTAAGTGAAAATGGTAGATAAGAATATTAAATAATTGAAATGATTAAGATTATTATGAAAAAAAGAAATAATTAAAATTGAATTTATTATAAAGAAATTTTAAAATTGAAATATATTTTAATTGTATATTTTATTAGGTAAAATGATTCTCAAATAAATCATTTGTTATTATGAAAATATTATTTTTGTACTGAAATGGAATTATATGGTAATTTAAAAAAAATTGTAATTTTAATTGCAATTATTATTATTTCAAATTATTATTCAAATTAAAAGAGAAAATGAAGAGAATTATAATATATAACTTTCTTATTACTTTTTTTTAATGTGCATTATTTGTGTGAAAATCATTATATAGAACAATAGATAAGAGAATAATTTTAACTTCTTTTGAAAAAAGTTTACAATTTAATAATTTAAAAATAATTATTGGAAAATTAATTATTCTACAGTTTTTTATGCACACATACATTTACCTGTTCAGTAGATAATTTCATAATATCAAATATTATTTGAATTCAATTCCATTCAATAGGTTAAAATGCAGCAAAACAAAGCATTAAATATTCTCATACTTTAATCTGTCCCTCTAAATCTTTATGAGAATTTTTACTCTAATTTTACATCTCACTATTCGCATCTTATATTTATTTCGATACTTTAAAGAATTTTTAAAAACTTTTCACGAAATAATAAAGTTTCTTTACTTATTTGCATTTATATTTCATATAATATAAAATTTTCATAAAAATTCAAAAAATTGAAATAAAATAAAATTTTCATTTCTTTTCATCTACTTTTACTATCATACTTTATTTATTTTATTCAACATTATTCAACATTAATACATTAGCATTTTTTTAATATTATTTATAAGACTGTCTTTTCTTTTTTTATTTCTTTATCAATAATTCAATTAAATCAAATTCCAAAGAAGAAATTTTAATTTTTGACTCAAGGAAACATTATAATTATAAAATAATTATAAACTTTATATTTTATATTTTGTCAAAATTTGACAAAATAGTATAATTATCATTCTGAATATTTTTATTATATCATCGATGACATTATAATTGAAATTGTATTTTTTTGCAAAAATTTTTAATAATAATGTAATTTTAATATGATTATTATTAGTTTTATTACCTTGTAAATTATATAAATTTTTTTTATAATGAAAAGTTTTGAGATTTTGAAAAGGACTGCTGATCTACGACATTTTGAGAACTACTGATTTAGCAGTTATCCCCACCACTTTTCGCGCCATAAAAATTATCGATATGTTTATTTCGATTTTCGATTCTCTTTTTTTTTCAGTCACTAATCTTTTTTATATTCGACAATTATATATTATAATTAGTAATTCAATAAAAGAATCAAATAAAATTAAAATATATAAACATCTTTTAATTTATAAATTAAAATAAAGAAATCATATTTCTCTTTTATCAATTTTTGCACTTTTTGATTTGCACTGATAAAACACATGACTCATGTTCACTTTCACTTCTTTTTTCTTCTAAATACTTATAATTAGCTATCAATCTTACACATTACTTTTATGTATACTTTTTATATAAAAAAAAAATTCTAAACTCTGATTGAATCATATTGCCATATTTAAAAATTCATTTCAATTTTTTTAAAGATATGTGATTTTCTAATTCTTTACTTTATCCAATGTTTGTTATAATTCACTCATGTCAATATACATTAATTCCTTTTTATATCATTCTTGTCTTCTTTTATGAAAATCCTCGATTCACATTCACAACATAACATCTCCTTACTCGTGACATAACCTAATTCCTAATATATCATTTGTCAAAACAAGAATTGTCCAATGGCTAGCAATTCATTCTCCTGACCACAAAGAAAAGAACCTTTTTTCTAAGATCGAGTGCATCGCACAAGGTGACGGAAGTACTGGACGACGGTGTGTCTGGACCAACAGGACGAGTGGGAGACAGCGATGGGGAAATATGACACGAACGTCAGCCCTCATGGGCAAGCGAATCAGACGAGGATAGTGAACCGGAACAAAGGACATGTCAAATAGCTACGCTATCTTAGTCGTTGATAGCGGATAGAAGAAACGCCGATCTCGACATTTTGCAAACGATGTCAAAATTCAAGCTTCTTTCGCGTTATGCAGAAGTCAATGGCATCTTTGCGAGGATGTAATATACAAAAAAGAAAGGAAGGAGAAAGGTTTGCGTATTCGAAAAGTTACAGAAAAGTTGAACAGAGGAACGATGAAACTTTCCAAAGGAAGTTTAGCGGTCCAAAAATGAGCAGGTAAAATGCGAGACTCATTGAGAAATTTGATCAAAGATAAAGAGTGTCAGATCATTGAGATATATAAAAATATTTGCAAGATTTCTCGTTTTCGTTTTGTGTAGTTGAAATTTTTTACGAGTCAATATATAGTATTGAAATATTGCATACAATATAATACAATGTTTCTTAATCGCGAAAATAATATTAAAATTTTATGAAATATAAAAATATGTAATATTTATTGATATTTATAAATAATGTTGAAAAATGGAATTTATGGATCAATAAAAACAAATAAAAATTCATTATTGGTTACATTATAAAGTATTATCTTCATCGACATCATTGATATTAAATTTTATTTAATTTTTGATTAAATTTTACTCTAATCCTTAGTTGATATAAATATTTTAAAATATAACAAATATACTACAATAAAAATACTATCATATCAAATTATTCTTAAAAAGAATTAGGAAACACTGGATTAGAAATTGTTACGTATAATTTGAAATCGGCCTTAAATTATTAAGGCCTTATTAAATTATTAAGTTCCTTTTGATATATATACGCGCGCGTTCAAATGTTATTTTAAAAAAAAAAGCTGTTTCTCATCCTCTAATGTTTAATGATGATGTTTTATTTGTATTTGTGTAAGTAGTAAATGTTTTAAAATGGTTAATCATAAACGATTGTACTTTAATGACTGTGAAGAAATAAATAAATTTCAGAGTGATGTAAAAAATTTGCGTAGATGATTTTGAAAAAGAGTTATGAATAATAAATTTAATCATAAATTTGAGAATATCACAAAATTTACTTAAGAATAATAATATTATTCTTTTTTTAAAATAAGAATTAATCGTATTAAAATTATTCATATTATTATTAATATATTTATTAATTATAAAATTATTAATAAATATTAATAATTTGTAAATAAGAATTTATTTAAATGAAAATATTTTATTTCTGAAATTTAAAAAATTTTTAAACTTATTAAATTTCAAAATATAGTAATGAAAACAGAAAAAAATCTCAAATTTATGATGAATAATATAGCATATGTATAAATGAATAATAGAGTATGTGATAGTAAATAATAGGTTTTACGCATGTATTAATTTATAAAAAATGTAATTCTAATAATAATAGCTTATAGAACTTAATATAGGCATTTATATTTAAATAGCTTTGCAATTTTAAAAAAACATCATAACTGTTTCTAAAATCATAAAATTAGTGCAAAGTTATTATGATTGTTAATGATTGTATGAATGAATATTATTTATTTATATTTTTATTGAATGGGAAGAGAGAAATAAGAATGATATGTTTTTACAACTATGCTCGATTTTATGACTAATTATTAATAATAATACAATATATAATTATTCAATTAACTATTATATTATTCAATTAACTATCATAAAAAATAAAAATGAAAAAATTATAAAACATTTATAATTTTTAATACTTGTTTTTTAATATTATTATATAATATTTTCCACATGTATATGTTTAAATTTATAAATAAAAAAAAAATAATTAAAATAAATTACTTCTCATTCTCATTATTCTGTATATATAAATTTAAATACATGTTTCTTAACATGTTACATATTCAAAATTATAGTTTTTACTTGGAAGTATGACAAAACATGTGAGAAAGAATGTGATAAAATAAAAATATTATAAAACATTATAAATGCATTGCTAAGTTTTGAAGAAGATACATTTATTCGTTACAAATGGTTTTGTATGTATACAATATATATTATATCACATTATCAATTGTACAGCATATGATCGCATAATGTATAAATCAGTAATATCTTCATAAGCGAAATTAATTGTAAGTTTAATATTAAACAATGTTAATTAAATTATTATACATGTATGGCAGTCTATAATAAAAATCAAAATATAATTAATAAATAGTCGTTTTACATGATTTGTTTAATAATTTTTCATTTCAATTTTTGATTACAATTATAAATTTATTTTGATTTATTATTATTATGAATATTTCAAAAATATAATATTATACTGAAAATCATTTATCAATTTTATTTTTTTAATGATATTGTTAAGAAAATGTTTTGCATAAATATACATATATATTTGTAACCAGTGCAAAAATAATTCATCTATACTATTATTTAATAAATATAATAAAAATGAATTTATTGAAATTGTACTTAAAAATTGTACGTAAAAATTCAGCTATAATATTATATTATTAGATTAAAATTAAAAAATTTATCAATTATCTTTGATTATTTCTTAATTAAGTCAGATTTATTTAAATTGCACTTTTAAAATTTTTCTAATAAAATGGAAGACAAAGAAAAATAAAAAATATTTAAAAAAATAGAAATTTATAATATATTATCAGGAAGAAAAATGAAAAGTAATAAGTAAAAGTTAAACCAATATACTAATATATTATTAAAAAAATAATTAAAAATAATATAATATATTTTCTTGTGTAAAGTTCCATATTCATTATAATTTATTCATTTGTATTATGTAAAAATATACTATATACTTTCAAAGAGCAATTAAGATACCAAAATTAGTTAAAAAATTTGAATACTTATTTATATAGTCAGATATTTTCATATTGAAAAAATGTTAATATTAATGCTAAAGATTATTTGTTTTATTAGAGATCTTTCATTGAAACTTTTATTAAAAAATGTCATTATATATGTATATACATATAATATTTATCTATATATATACTATTATATATATATGATTAAATTGATATCTTTTTGTATTATTTCTATATAATAAGTATTGTTTGAACTTCAATTATAATTAAGTGAAAATATACATTAAGCAGCAAACAATATTAACATTTTTATATAAATTTTGAAGTAATTTTTATTGTTTATCATTTGTATTACTTGTTAAATAAAAAAAAAAAATCTTATATTTTTCTTCCTTTATAAATATAGCAGATAATAAATGTTTAATTTTGAAATATATTAAAAAAATGTACATAAATTAAATATGTATAGACATAAATTTTAAAAAACATAATATAATTAATTTTTTATTTTTATTCATTTCCTGAGTGTTTTGTATGTTTCCAAGACTTTAAATTATCTAAAACTTGAATTAATAAAGGATTTCCACCTAAACGTGCAATTTCATCTCTTGCTTTCTTGTCCAATTCTTCTAATAAAGTCCTTGTATAAGTAAAAGATCCAAATTTTTCTAGCAATTTAACACAATACCGTTTTACCTCAATATCCTTTGTTCGTTGCCTAAGAATGTCTTTATCAATAGTAGCTAAGAATAATATTTAAGAATATTTAAAAAATTAGATTATTTAGAATTAAAGAAAAGGATACTTATTATTTGTCTATCTTCTGGATGGCTTCGTATAGCATGTATAATAGGAAAACTATACTTTCCTTCAGAAAGATCCTCGCAATAGCCTTTATTATCAACATACTATAAAAATTTTTGGTATACTATAACTTTTATTTTATTATTAAATCTGAAAACTTACCTCTTCTGAAGATAGATTACAATAATCATCACGAATTTGAAAATAAAGTCCTAAAATACTAGTTAAAGGTACAAAATCTTCTTTACATTCAGAAAATAATTGCATTAATCTTACAGCCAGATTAAAAAGACCACCTGTTTCTATAAGAAAAAAATTTAAAAAAATTTAGTAACAATATTAGGAAATATAAAATCACTGAATATAAGATATTATCAATTTAAAATTTACTTTGAATTGTCATCTGTTTATAAGCTGCTTCAGTAGGACAAATATAATTATCTCTCCAATAAATTTCCATACCCTGACCTCTATGAAGTTCTAGTAACTGTTCTAAATATATTTGTATACCCTAATATTAATTTTAATAATATTAAAATCAAAAAATTTATAAAAAAAATAAAAATTTTTACATAGCACATTTACCTCTACATGATTTAAAGCAAGTACTTTTTCCAAAGCAATAAATATGGCATAATTTGCAGCATTCATTGTAGATGCTACACCATAAATGTTATGAGCTACAGGAATACCTCTTCTTAAAACTGAATTATCTTGAATATCATCAATTCTGTAAAAATTATAATAATCAACAATAATTTTGTGATTCTATAAATATATTTTGTGTATCCAATATATTTAAAATATTTGAAGAAAAAAAAAATGATAGTTTGAAGAGTTAAAATAAATAAGATTTATAAACTCACAAGAGGCTAGCATTATGAAGTAATTGTATAATATCTCCAATATCACGAAGTTTATCTGATTTTATTTTTAACCAGTAATTAAAAGCATGTGCTAATGTGGCTCTAATTTGTTTTCCAGGAACTTGGAGAATGTAATTATACGGTTCCAATAATATCTATAGGAAAATATATATATCTCTTTAAAATGTAAAATTCATAATACAATATAATATACAATACAATAATAAACCCGATTGATTCTTGTCATTTTGACAGTTTTCTTAACCTTATTGACTATGATCCACAACAAACTAACCTCATCTTCTTCCTTGTTGCCGGTACGCGAATAAGGTACAATTTTATCTTTCTCCATGACGTGTTCACACACTGTTGAAATAATCAATTTATATCGTTATTATATGCAATTATCACTATATGCAATTAATTGAACTATTATATGTAAGAAAATTAATTACGGTGCACGATCTGCAATACTTACTACGTATACATAAGAACCTCTACTGCGTATGTTATGTCGTCTGCTATGTTATACTAGTAATTTCCACTCAAGATAATATCTAATTGATTAAATATCTTAATTTATCTGAAATAAAATTATATAAATGAAATTATCTCCAAAAATATCTATATATAACAATTATATATAACAATATATAATTATAATTATATATAATTATA